CTCTTCTTGAACATATCTCCCCGGGCAAGGAAAACAACAGCAAAAATGAGCAAGTGGGACTACATTAAGCTGAAAAGCTTCTGTACAGCGAAAGACACCATCAATAGAACAAAAAGGAACCCTACAGTATGGGAGAATATATTTGAAAATGACAGATCTGATAAAGGCTTGACGTCCAGAATATATAAAGAGCTCACACGCCTCAACAAACAAAAAACAAATAACCCAATTAAAAAATGGGCAGAGGAACTGAACAGACAGTTCTCCAAAAAAGAAATACAGATGGCCAAGAGACACATGAAAAGATGCTCCACATCGCTAATTATCAGAGAAATGCAAATTAAAACTACAATGAGGTATCACCTCACACCAGTAAGGATAGCTGCCATCCAAAAGACAAACAACAACAAATGTTGGCGAGGCTGTGGAGAAAGGGGAACCCTCCTACACTGCTGGTGGGAATGTAAATTAGTTCAACCATTGTGGAAAGCAGTATGGAGGTGCATCAAAATGCTCAAAACAGACCTACCATTTGACCCAGGAATTCCACTCCTAGGAATTTACCCTAAGAACGCAGCAATCAAGTTTGAGAAAGACAGATGCACTCCTATGTTTATCGCAGCACTATTTACAATAGCCAAGAATTGGAAGCAACCTAAATGTCCATCTGTAGATGAATGGATAAAGAAGATGTGGTACATATACACAATGGAATACTACTCAGCCATAAGAAGTGGAAAAATCCAACCATTTGCAGCAACATGGATGGAGCTGGAGAGTATTATGCTCAGTGAAATAAGCCAAGCGGAGAAAGAGAAATACCAAATGATTTCACTCATCTGAGGAGTATAGGAACAAAGGAAAAACTGAAGGAACAAAACAGCAGCAGAATTACAGAACCCAAAAATGGACTAACAGGTACCAAAGGGAAAGGAACTGGGGAGGATGGGTGGGCAGGGAGGGATAAGGGGGGGGAAGAAGAAGGGGGGTATTAAGATTAGCATGCATGGGGGGAGGGAGAAAGGGGAGGGTGGGCTGCACAACACAGAGAGGACAAGTAGTGACTCTACAACATTTTGCTAAGCTGATGGACAGTAACCGTAATGTGGTTGTTAGGGGGGACCTGATATAGGGGAGAGCATAGTAAACATAGTATTCTTCAGGTAAGTGTAGATTAAAAATTTAAAAAAAAAAAAAAAAAAAAAAAAAGAAAGAAAAGGGGGATTACTCCTTAACAGGATAAAACTATTGGTAAATCAAAGATCAACGCATGCTTTAAATATCCTTAATGTTGATCACTTAAAGGGTGTCAGATGATCAGCTATGGAGGTACTCTTTTCTGATAATATTCCTTTCTCTTAATTAAAAAAAAAAAAAAAAAAAGTTACTGTGTGCTGACCTCCAATGAGTTCTGCACAGTGGTATAGAGGGCATGTCAAAGTGTGGGCAAAGGGTCTGTTTGTTTCTACGCAGAAGATCAAGGCCTAGCTTGGATACCCAGAAAATGAACTAAGATACGATATGAGGAGGAGCTTCCGGCATCAGCACTCTCTGGAGGACTCGTGCCGGGGGATGATCATCAAAAAGCCTCCACAGGGATCCGGACGATGCTGCGGTTGTGGCTGCATCCAGCCCACCATCTCCTGGACTTGCCATAAGAAGGAGGAGGGAGATGTCTAGGCTGGCATGTGCATACAGTGAGACAACGAATTTGACTGGATCTGTACTGTTGGAACTCAACCAGGAGTTGGGAGGGGTGCAAGTTGTAGCACCCCAAAATCTCATGACTATAGACTATCTATGGTTAAAAGAACATATGGGATGTGAACAGATCCCAGAAATGGGCTGCTTTAATTTGTCTGATGGTTCAAGTACAGTTGGAAAATATCCATCATATCATAGATAAATTTTCACAAATGCCTAGGGTGCCTAAATGGTTTTCTTGGCTTCACTGGAGATGGCTGGTAATTATAGATTTGCTTTGTTTATGTCACCGTATTCCTATTATGTTAATATGTGTGTGCAAATTAGTTAGTAGTTTAAAACCTATACATACTTAAGGTACTATACAAGAAGATATGTCAAAGAAATAATCAATCCTCCCAAGTTTCCTTCATATGCTACATCTATAGCTTTTCTTCTTCCTTCCTAATTACAAACCTTAAATAGAATTCGTGCCTCATATCGAATTTACCGAGTATCATAATTCCTCCAGGTGGTAAAGATACCTCGAGACAAGTGCTGGGCATAGAAGCCACAGGGCATAAATCTGCAAAGAAGTAAAAAGCTAACCTTTGCAAACAATATGGCTTCTCTCTCACTTACCAACTTTACATTTCCCTGTATGGCCCCGGAAGATGACTGGTTAGCCAGAGACGGGTAAGATTCCTCAAGGGAGGAACAACCTAAGACAGGCACAGTCGCAGGGGGGCCATCAGGTGAGAATTTGGGGATCAACAGAGGTGAGGCTCAGAACCTCACCCCCCCTGCTTTGAGAGAAATCTTCTGCATCCGTGGATGTCTTGCTGCCCTTGTCTAGCCTGGATTAATACTTAGTCCATAGGCACACACCTGATCATCTGATCATCTACATTTGCCTTCTTACAGCACTAAACTATGTTTTCTACCTTTATCTTGCATCTACCTACCACTTCAGCATTTTATTAAAAATAAAAATAATAATAATAATAGGAGAAATGTGGGATCAACATATAAATCAAGTACAAAAATCAAATGAATATTCATATTTGACCTGATGGTTTATAGGTCATATTGCATGATCAAAACCGAAAGTTTCTGTGATGAATGCCCTTGTACTGTTCACCATGTAAGAATTTATTCACTCTGTAAGAATTCGTTCACCATGTAAGAACTTGTTCGTTATGCTTCAGAAGATTGGAGACTGACGAGAATTAGGCTTGAGATGGATTAATGATTGTACATTGAGCATTGACCCCCCTATACTGAATTTTATTGTTGTTAACAACCATTTGATCAATAAATATGAGAGATGCCCTCTCAAAAAAAATTAAATTAAATTAAATTAAATTTAAAAAATCAAACAAATATTCATATTTGACCTGATTGTTTATAGTTCATAATGCGTGATCAAAACCGAAAGTTTCTGTGATGACTGCCCCTGTACTGTTCACCATGTAAGGACTTATTGACTATGTTGGAATTTGTTCACCATTTAAGAACTTGTTCTTTATGCTTCAGAAGATTGGAGACTGACGAGAATTAGGCTTGGGGTGGATTAATGATTGTGCATTGAGCATTAACTCCCCTATACAGAATTTTACTGTTGTTAACAACCATTTGATCAATAAATATGAGAGATGCCCTCTCAAAAAAAAAATTTGAGGCAGTTGAGATGAATAGTTAGCAAAATATTCTTCCTTTTATAACAAGGTGAATCTTCAAAAAAATTAGATATTCTGTAATTACCTTGTAGGCCATGTACCAAATGAGCACAGAATATTTAATCTCATACTCTCTGGAGAAGACTATGCATGTCTTGTCCTTTTAAGTTGGGCCCATTTCAGTTGGAAGCAGGTCTCTGACAGCAGTTCCCAAACTTTTAGCTTCAATTAGTATTTTAGGGTTCTGCTTTTTTCCTCAAATATTTGTTGCCTTTCTCTTTAAAAACTCCATATGGTAGAAAAACTAAAATGTGCAAATGCATGAAATTAGTACTTTTATTCAACATACATTATTTGGAACTGTAAGTTTTTGGAAGAATTCTTAGGAGGAGATATTTATATTTACAGGGTGGGCTATATGTCTATATATGTTTATATATAATCATATGAACATGTTTATAAATCCTCCTACATATGTAGTGACTTTAGAGAAACTGGCTCCAGAAGCCTACCAGAGAAACAATTTTCATTATTTTACATATATATATATGTATATATGTATATATGTATTTTTCTATTTTTAGATGGCCCACCCTGTTCTTTAAAATTGCCAGGGAATAATAATCCAGATTTCTTCTTGGTTTATATATTCTGATGCTTCATGCAGTATCTAAAACATCAATTATAAAATAAATCATTGGCATGAGAAACTTCTATTTCTTCCCTTGCTTGGTTTCCTTGCCTTGGGTTCTTAAGTGTTAGAAGGGGTGAGGGAAATATGAGTTTGTTCAGGCCTGCTGGAGAAGTTGATGGAAGAACAGGAATCTTTCATCCTGTCATATTACAGTGGCTTAGATGGTCACTATTGTTTATGGTTAGGAAATGCCTTAGGTTTTTATAAGTCCATCATGGCCCCTTGGCTTTAACTCATCTACATAAATAGTCAAAATAATAAGAAATATAACAGTAACTGATGTTATTAAACATCTATTATTGTATACTATGCTAAGCAATTAATTTTATTTCATGTAACTCATTATAGTACTATAAGTCTGATATTGTTTTATCATAATTTATGTTTATCATCTTTACTTTTTAGCTAAGAAAACTGAACCTTATAGAAATTAAGTAATTGCCCACAATCATCATACAAGTGAGTAACAGGAAAAACAGGCTTGCATAAGTCTATAGCCTATACTCTTTACCACTATCTGGTATTGCTTCCATGGCAGAAAATACTGAGTTTGGCTGAAATGTTATCTTTGCTATGGAATGTGGCTGTCTTTTTGTGCAAGTATCACCCCTTCCTCAGTTTCCACTTCTAAGTAAACTTGATCGCCATTGCACCAAGAACACACAATGCAACAACATTTTATTAGAACAAATGGTAGTAGGGACCCAGGAAGCATTTTGTTAGCAAAGTACTGACAGCAGATGACAAAACTAAATTTGTAGAACCATTTGCTTTGTAGAAAGGAATCTGCCATAACTCCCAGTTCATAGAGCATGGGATTTTCCTAGGATAGAAAGGGAGAGTATTCAGCTCCACTGAATGGCCCAAGTCCTGTTGGGCACATCTAGTCAGTGCCTGGGATGTGTCATTTCTTGATTATCAGTGTCTTTCTTTTGCTTTTCTAGGATTATATCAGAGAAGGTGAAGGAGGTTCTCTTTATACGACCCCGAAAGTACATCCGCTGCTCCAGCTCAGAGACCACAGATCCTGGCTATATCAACATCACGGAGCTGGCAGCATCTGTGTGCCGCTACGACTTAGATGACATGGACATGTTCTGGCTCCAGGAACTCAATGAAGACCTCACAGAAATGGGTAAGTTGTTTCTCACAAGTAAGTTGTTCCTTTACTTGACTGGTGAATTTTCTTTTAAGATGTCAGAACCATTTAACCTGATTCATCTTATGGCTGCCTTCCTTTCTCTTTGATCTTATCTTAATGATGCATTTCTTGAAATGCATAAATATATTGAAATGGAGCAATAGCATCTAAATCTGACCTTTTCTTTCCTTGTTCATTCTGAGTAGCACAGATCAGGGATGGCATGTAGGTTTCATGAAGCTGTTTCCCAGTTTTGAGTGGTCATAGCTGATTGGACTTCTGGTTGAGAAGGATTCAGAGACTGGTTCCTGGCTCAGCCCTGAAAAGCACTCTGATCAAGGATGGTGACATTTCTGCCATCTCCGCCCAGACAGAAGCTCCCACTTAAGCATTAGGCAGCACCATGGCAATTGACATGTTGATGTAACCAGTACACATTAATGCCAGACTTGTGATTTTGCTGCCCAGAAGAAGAATGGCAGGCCTGGGTCAAAACATCCCCAAAGCAGTTCTTAGCTTCCTTCAGGGAGTTCAAGAGTTGTCATGTAATTCTCAAAAATAAAATTAAGTTAAACAAGAATAAGCAAACAACTTGGAAGTAAACATAATAATAATTTTAAAATAAAGGCATGCCATACAGTACCATACTGGCAATGCTGGGAAATGGCTAGGCTGAAAAGAAACTCATTTTGTACTTCACACAGCTCTTTTTGACCTGTTTTCAATCTAAGCAGTATGTAGATCCCAATGGTCCTATGGAATTGTATGGGTAGTTTTTAAGTCTCTATATGAGATAAGTTGAAGCATACATTTGATTTCATTTTTGTTTGAATCATATTTGTTTATTGTTGGTACAACAAGGATCAGTGGTTTTCCTTTTCTTCCCTCCCTCCCTCCCTCACTTCTTTTTTTTTGAGGTTAGTATCTGAATGCCTGAGAATAAAATATAAATTGTATTAAATCCAGTTTGGCATGATGGTGATAGTTATTCTGCCAGTAAACTAATACTTACTCCTTGCTTTTTAAAACTTTTTATTCTATGTCTTCTCTTGGTCTGCCTTCTAAGAGGAGAGAGGCAGATAAATGTAAGGTGGGAACCACAGAGAGAAGACAAAAAGACTGAGAGGGAAAGTCAAAGAATGGGGGCGTAATCCAGTGGATTGATGGCTCAGTGAGCAGTTGGTTTCTGAGCCCTGTGACATCCACATGCATTACAGCCATTGCAGTGCTGCCTTTGACATGACACCACCTTATCACAAGTCCCTTGGTATTTTACAGTTACTTCCCTTTGGATGAGTTGTTTTTTAATAAACATTTTTATTTTGGAAGAGTTTCAAATTTGCAGAGAAGTTGCACATTTAATATAGTTACCATATATTCCCATGCAGTTTCAGTGTCCTATAATGTTAAAATGTCTCACTTTAACATGGTACATTTGTCAGAGCTAAGAAGCCAACTTACATACATTACTGTTATTCCAGACTCCATTGGAATTTCACCAGTTTTTCCACCTTTTTCTGTTCCAAGATACCATCCAGGACATCACATTGCAAAGGATTGCCTTATCTGAAGTTCTCCTTTAGAGTGAATCATATTGTAGTGAGGCTTCTAAGAGCTTAAAATAAACTTCTAAAAAACATTTAGATTGGCAGGAGGGAGCCAAGATGACGGCGTGAGTAGGACAGTGGGAATCTCCTACCAAAAACATATATATTTTTGAAAATACAACAAATATAACTATCCCTAAAAGAGAGACCAGAAGATACAGGACAACCGCCAGACTACATCCACACCCGCAAGAACCCAGCGCCTCGCAAAGGGGGTCAGATACAAGCCACGGCCCGGTGGGACCTGAGCGCCCCTCACGCCAGCTCCTGGCGGGAGTAGAGGAGTCGGAGCAGGGAGGGAGGGGGAGCCCAGGACTGCTAAACACCCAGCCCTGCCATCCGCACCAGAGCACAGACACACAGTGCATGCATGGGGTACTGGAAACTAGGGAAACAGGACAGTAAGACCTGTAAGTGGGTCTGCTCAGCCGGTGCCCCTGGGACAAAGAAAAGCGAGTGCTTTTTGAAAGTCTTAAAGGGACAGGGACCACACAGCTGGACGGAAGCATCCCGGGACACTTAACCGAGCAGCTGGGAATCCCGGGGAACTCCTGGCGCCCTAACCCCCTGGGCGGCAGTGCAGCTCTGAGACCCCTTACGGCAATAAACAGCCTCCCACCCGTTCCCCCTCCAGAGCGGCACCGCCACAGCAGAGCAGCAGCCTGAGGCTGGCCATGCCCACAGCAAGGGACCTTCCTCCAGAGCGGCCGGGCAAGAAACAGAGACCCAGTCTACACACAACTGACCAACAGAAGCTGCTAAGGGTCGCCATTGTCCCAGTAAAGAAAGGCCAGGAGCAAGTGGAAAGGGTCTTGGTTCTCCCAGCTTACAGATGACCTAACAGCATACCACTGCATCGATCAACATGAAAAGGCAGAAAAATTTGATCCAGACGAGACTAACGCAGACATCCTCCATATCCTCCCCTGAGAAGCAGTCTGGGGAGATAGCTTGGACTAATCTTCCTGAAAAAGAATTCAAAATAAGTCATAACCATGCTGACGGACTTGCAGAGAAATATGCAAGAGCAAAGGAGGGAGAATACAGAAATAGAACAAACTTTGGAAGACTTCAAAGCAGAATGGACGGGATGCAAGAGACCATTAATGGACTAGAAATCAGAGAACAGGAACGCAGAGAAGCTGACGCAGAGAGAGATAAAAGGATCTCTAGGAATGAAAGAATATTAAGAGAACTATGTGGCCAATCTAAACAGAACAATATTCGCATTATAGGAATACCAGAAGAATAAGAGAGAGAAAAAGGGATAGAAAGTGTCTTTGAAGAAATAATTGCTGAAAACTTCCCCAAACTGGGGGAGGAAATAGCCCCTCAGACCACAGAAGCACACAGAACTCCCATGACAGGGACCAAAGGAGGGCAACACCAAGACACATATTAATTAAAATGGCACAGACCAAAGACAAGGACAGAGTACTAAAGGCAGCCAGAGAGAAAAAAAGGTCACCTACAAAGGAAAACCCATCAGGCTATCATCAGACTTCTCAACAGAAACCTTCTGGACTGAAGAGAATGGCATGATATATTTAATGCAATAAAACAGAAGGGCCTTGAACCAAGAATACTGTATCCAGCATGATTATCATTTAAATATGAAAGAAGGATTAAACAATTCCCAGAGAAGCAAAAGTTGAGAGGGAATTTGCCTCCCACAAAGCACCTCTACAGGGCATCTTACAGGGACTGCTCTAGATGGGAGCACTCCTAAAAAGAGCACAGAAAAAAACACCCAACATATGAAGAATGGAGGAGGAGGAATAAGACGGGAGAAAAATAAAGAGTCATCAGACAGTGTTTATAATAGCTCAATAAGTGAGTTAAGTTAGACAGTAAGATAGTAAAGAAGCAAACCTTGAACCTTTGGTAACCACAAACTTAAAGCCTGCAATGGCAGTAAGTACATATCTTTCAATAATCACCCTAAATGTAAATGGACTGAATGCACCAATCAAAAGACACAGAGTAATAGAATGGATAAAAAAGCAAGACCCAAGATTAAAGATGGTGGCGTGAGAGGAGAGACAGAGGCTTCCTCCTAAAACTGGATACAATTAGAAAATATAGTTGGCACAACTAATCCTGAGAGAACAACAGGAAAGAGGACGCGTCAGACTGCACACACCTGGAGAAAAGAGCAGACCTCACGGAACAGGGTAACGTACCAGAGTTGTGGCTCTGTGGGACCAGAGCCCCTCCCCCACCCCAGCTCACCAGCGGGAGGAAGACAAATGGAGCAGGGAGGGAGTGGAAGGCTTGGGACTGCTGGAAACCTAGCTCCAGAGATCTGCGCTGGGAGCACAAACCGATATCTCATGGTGCTTTCATGAGACTCGCATGACTACCGGCTTGGAAAGTTAATACAGGCAGAGTTGCTGGGGAGACTGGGATTCCGGCTGCATGTGGAAAGCAGGGATCCATAGCTGGCTTCTCTGGGACAAAAACATACCTGTGTGCCCGGCCCATTGGCTCAGGCAGCGGACACAGGTACAGCAGCCAGGAGGTGGGGAACAGCTCTTTCCTCCCCCCAGGTACCAGTACTGCTCCCCTGCGACCCCCAACATTTCTTCAGGGGCTGAGCAGGTCCAGAGACCACAGCTTCTGGACACTAGACGGCACCATATACAAACATGAAATGCCAAAGGAACCTTATCCAGAGTAAAATTGTTAATACAACTCCCGAGAAAGATTTAAATGATATGGACCTCGTGGCTCTTCCTGAAAGGGAGTTCAAAATTAAAATCATCAACATTCTAATGGAGGTATGGAAAGACATCCAAGAACTCAGGAATGCATTCAGGTCAGAGATCCAATCGTTGAAGAACGCAATGGAGGGTATTAAAAGCAGGTTGGATATGAGGAGGAGACAATAAATGAAAAAGAAACTAGAGAAGAGGAATACAAAGAAGCTAAGGCACAGAGGGAAAAAAGGATCTCTAAAAATGAAAGAATATTGAGAGAACTGTGTGACCAATCCAAGTGGAACAATATTTGCATTATAGGGATACAAGAAGAACAAGAAAGAGAGAAAGGGATAGAAGGTGTCTTTGAGGAGGTAATTGCTGAAAACTTCCCCAATATGGGGAAGGAGATAGTCTCTCAGGCCATGGAGATTCACAAATCTCCCAACACAAGGGACCCAAGGAAGACAACAGCAAGACACATAGTAATTAAAATGGGAAAGATCAAGGATAAGGACAGACTGTTAAAAGCAGCCAGAGGCAGAAATAAGATCACATACAAAGGATAACCCATCAGGCTAACATTGGACTTCTCAGCAGAAACTTTACAGGCCAGAAGGGAGTGGCATGATGTATTTAATGCCATGAAGCAGAAGGGCCTGGAACCAAGATTACTTTATCAAGTAAG